GGGAGCATGCCCAGGAAGGAGACTGCTGATTCACATGGAAACTCCATGAGGAACTGCCAGACATTTTTCAAGGCGTCTGTGCCATCCTACATGCCCATCAGTACAGGCGAAGGCTCCAGTTCCTCCACGTTGTCACCAAAACTTGTCCTTTATCTGTTTTATTAAAGTCATCCCAGTGGGCGTGGCACGGTATCACACTGTGGTTTTGATTTGTGTTTCCCTAATGACTAATGATGTTGATCATCGTTCCATGTGCTCATTGGTCAATAGTTTACCTCTTTTTTGGAGAAATGTCAATTCAAATCCTTTGCCATTTTAAAATGGGGGTATCTTTTTACTTTTTTTTTGGTACCGGGGATCAAACTAAGGACCTTGCACTTGCAAGGCAGAAGCAGTGCCACTGAGCTAAATCCCCAGCCCAACTTTTTTGTTTTCTTGACAGTATATTTGTAACATAAAAGTTTTCAATTATGATGACATTTAAAAAAAATTTTTTTAGTCACTTGTGCTTTTGGTATACTGTTTAGGAAATCACTGCCTGATCCAGCATCACAAAAATTTACTTCTGTGTTTTCTGGTCTGTGGTCAATTTTGTGTTAACCTTGTATCTGGTGTAAGGAAGGATTTCAACTTCATTCTTTTGCAGTGAGTATACGGCTCTCTCAGGCACAGTGTTAAAAAGACCATTTTTTCCTATTCAGTTGTCTTAACACCCTTGTTGAACTATGATCCATTCTGCTTAAATTTGGTATATAGTGAGAGGAATGGGTTGAAATCATTGTTTTCTTTCACCTTTTTTCTTTCCCTTTCACCTTCCCACATGTCTTCCCTTCCTCTGTTTCTTCTTCCCTTCCTTCATAATGATAGCCAATTGGCTGGACACTACTGTTGAAAAAAAAATATTCTTCTTCTAAGGACTTGCTTTTGCATTCTTGTCAAAAATAAAATTTCCACACATTTGTGTTCTAATTCTGGACTATCAGTTCTGTTCCACTTGTGTCTTTGTGCCAATTCCATATTGTCTTGATTATAGCAACTTTACAATTCTTAAAACTAGGTAGTGTAAGTCTCACAACTTTATTTTTCTGTTTTGAAAAATAAATTTGGCTATTCTCGATCTTATTAATTTCCATATGAATTTTAGCTTACCCATTTCTGAAAGAAAAGTCTGTTAGGGTTGTGAGTGAAAGTTAATTTGACTCTGTAGAGAGAATGAGGGAATTGACCTCTTAAGGATTCTGAATCTCCCAATTTCATGAGCATGGTATACCTCTCAGCTTACTTCGATCTTCCTTGATTTCTCTGAGCATTGTTTTTATAGTGCTAAGTGTACAAATCTCCCATATTTTGTTAAATTTATTCCTAAAATATCTTATATTTTTAATATTGCCACACATACATTGTTAAAAATTTCAATATCCAATTGTTCATTGCTAGTAGGTAGAAGTAAAATTATTACTATTTTGTATTTTTCTCTTATATCTTGTAACTTTGCTGAAATCATTAGTTTTAGTAGCTTTTTAGTAGATTCTATGGGATTTTTTTTTTTTTTAGTTAAACAATGACTTTATTGCTTGGGTATATAGAAATACTTATGCAATCAGGGAAGAGGCTGTGGGTGACTCATGTTCCATTTGTGTGAGAGGATTCATCTGGTCTCATAATATTGAGTCAATAGCTTTGGTTATCAGAACCAACCGGGATTTATCATCCTTTTCCTTCTTATTCCTCTCAAGATGCTTGTAGACAATAACTGCTTTCTTAGTTGAATGAGGACAATCCTCAGGAAGGTCAGGAGCAAGCCCTTTGGACTTAACTCATTCTTGAGCTTTTATCACCCATCCCCAAACACACTTGTGCAACACCACATGAGTTCCTCAGGAGCCTACTGATTTATGAAGGAGGCAGGCCTTTATTGGCAAGTTTGTAAATTTTCTCTGTCCTGTCATCAGGTGTTGATTTCAGCCAGGTGGGGACATTGATGTGACAGGGCACAGCCATCTGGGACAGGCCCTTCCCAGGAATATACCAGCATATGACGGTGTTGCTCAGACAGCAAAAAGAGCCTACAGGAACTTTTACGTGGACTACTATGTTTGTGTCAATAGAGATGCTCTTACTTCTTCCTTTCTGGTCTGAATGCCTTTTTTTTTTTAAATAGAGATGCTCTTACTTCTTCCTTTCTGGTCTGAATGCCTTTTTTTTTTTCCATGCCTTACTTCTTTTCTTATCTATTGCACTAATTAAAGCCATTAGTAAAAATGTTGGATAGAAGGAGAGGGGGTACATATCTTTGTGTTCTTCCTACTCTTGGGAAGAAAGCATTCAGTATTTCACCACCAGGCATGAAGTTAGCTGTCAGTTTACCAGGGATGCCCTCTTTTAAATGAAAGAAGTTCCCTTCTGTGTGTGGGCAACTTTTGATCAGAAATTAATGTTGAATTTCATCAAATGGTGCTTGCTGGTTGCAAATGGTGTTGTTTTGTTGCATTTTTGATGAGATCATATTTTTTTCTTTTTTCAGTCAGTTAACATTGTAATTACACTGGCTGATTTTTTTTAAATGTACAATCATCCTTTTATTCCTGGGATAAAACTTAACTTGGACCAGATGCTGTGGTGCACGCCTGTAATCCCAGCACTTGGGAGAGTGAGGAAGGAGGATCACTGCAAGTTCAAGGAAAAAAAAAAAACTCAACTTGGTTGTAGTATACTTTCCTGCTTACATAGTGTTAGATTCTGTTTGTCAACCTTTAGTTAAGAATTTTGTACCTATGCTCATGAGGGATATTACTCTGTGGATATATTTTCTTGTAATGTTTTAATTTGGCATGGTATCAAAATAATGGTGGCTTACTAGATAGAGTAAGTTGGGAGGCACTTGCTCCACTTAAAATTTCTGAAGGGATTGTGTATAATTAATGCTAAACTGTGCTATCAGATTTCACTTGTTGAAGTCCTAGTACCCAGTGCCTCAGGATGTAACTGCGTTAGGAGATAAGGCCTTTAAAGAGGTGATTGTATTAAAATTAGAGTGACCCCTAATCCATTCAATTTCCCATGAACACAGAAGCCAAGCAGTGCACACGACTACTGTATTTATGAAAAGAGGGAACTTGAAGACCCAAAGAGACCGAAGGGATGTGCTTGCACAGCGGAAGGACCATGTGAGGACACCGCGAAAAGGGTGCTCTCCACAAGCCAAGGAGAGAGACCTCCAAGTGAAACCAGCCCCACCAACACCTTGATTTTGGACTTCCAACCTTCAAAGTTACGAGAAGACAACTGCTGTTTAAGACCCAGGCTGCGTAGCATTCTTAACTAGCACAGTTCGTGTTAGCTCTTCCTTAGGTATTTGGTTGAATTCACGAGTAAAATCATCTGGACCTGGTGTTCTTCGGAAAGTTTAAACTATAGACTCTACAGCCGTAGGGCTATTTCCAGTTGTGTGAGTTTGTCTTTTAAGGAAATTGACCATTTCATCTTAGCTGTTGAATATATCCTTATGTTCATATTCATACAAAAGTGAAACATAAGAAAATAAAAATCACGAGTCATTTTACAGTCTTCACATGACCATTTATTAATATATTGTGTATATGCTTCCAAATGACTTCTTTAGAGGTACACACCAATCCCCTCTGTTTGAAAACAACTGCTATTACCCTGTACATATATATGTGTAGCTTTTCATAATATCATCTACTATTCTACGAGAATATGACTATAGATGCATAATTAATAATTTGCTTACCAAATCTCATTTAAATTGCTTGTGATTTGGGGTGGGGGATCCCCTCATAAAAGTACCCCAGTCAGTATCCTTTCTCACCTGTTTCTGGGAACAACTTAAGTTTGTATCTTGGTTTACAGTCCCAGGAGTGGAATTTCTGGGTTGACCAGTTTATTACTGACTTCATTATTGGGCACATTGCACTCTGTAGGAGGAGGGCAAGGAGAGGAAGAGCTCATCCTTCCCCTGGAGGATCAGGCCTCTCTGAAGACCTGCCTGACCAGCACCTGCAGTGGGAATTCCAGAGAGGAAAGTGGCAGTGGTGCTGTTCACAGGCTCGCAGGGGGTCCCGGCCTTCACCTCCTTAGCATAAATCTCTGAGGCTCCCAGCTCCCTGCAGGTTGGCGGCTGTATCTTAGTGTGCAGACCGTACAGGGCCTGGATTCATCCTTCTTTGAAGCAGGATGGTATCAACCAAGCAAAAACAAAAGCCCAGCTTTGTGCAGACAAGTGTGGCAGGGAGCCGTCTTGCCACTCCTGGTCTTGTCTCATGGGGAATCGTAGGGCTTTTGGAGGGAATAAGGGCCTCAGATTTCCAGGAGCCACAGTCTGAGAGAAGTGTCAAGATCCACAAACCAAAACATATATGGATAACTGCAAAGGAATGCGCAAGCAAGTGCAAATTAACACCTTCCCATGTAAGGATGCGTGATCAGATGCGGATGCCGTGAGGTTTTTGCAGGATAACTTCCTGGGAAGGGGGGGTGTGGCGGCCAGCTCCACAGAGATGAAGCTGGGCAGAAAAGAGAGGTGTAGGCTGGGAGAGGGAGAATGAATGCTGCGTGAGACGGGTCCGAAAGACTGGGACACTAGAAGAGGAAGTTGGCAAAGCTGGGGGCAGGAAGGGAAGTTCTAGGAGGCTCCTTTCTGTCCCTTGTCAGCAGACTGGGGGCCACTAAGAGAGAAAGATCACTGCACAAGTGAGAAGATTATTGCAGTGTCAATTTCTCTCCCCTCCACCCACCCAATTCACCTCAGTCCTGGAGAGAAGGCCTCTACTTTGTAACAAACAGGTCTCTAAAACTGAGCACCAGCCATGTGCAGGTCACAGGGCACCTAATATCTGCTAGGAAAGTCCTTACTCTGCGAGGCCCGTACACTTGTTGCACCGCTAAGGACACAGGGAACAGGGAAGGAACATTCTTTTTTTTTTTTCCAGCTTTAATTGAGTTTATTGGTACATTTTAGGGATACAGTACAGTTACATTCATTGTTGGTATCTTGTACCTCTACATGACGAGTCTTGGAACATTCTTGCCAGGACTCAACCAGCAACTGGGGGTGCTAGGGACGGGAGCCCCACCAGCATCACTGCTCAGTCTGACGGAGTGGCTCCTGGAGCTCAGGATTCCCCTTTCTTCTCCTCTGCCCACTCCCTTCTGTGCACACCTCATTTCCCAAGCAAGAAAAAAAGTCTGCGCTGACTCTTGAGTGTCTCAGGCCCCCAACCAGAGGCAATGGTGCCTCGCGTTCAAATTTCAGGGGCATTTCTGGTTGTGACAACTTCAGAGTGGGTGCGGGGAGGGCAGCACAAGGGTGCTACTCTGCTTCCTGGGATGCACAGAAAGGAGGTCTGCGGTCAGCAGGTCAGTCAGGCTGAGCAGGACAGCCCTTCCAGGTGGGCGCTGGGGGCACTTCCTGGAGGAAGGATGTGCCCAGGCCCCTCTAGTCTTGGCCTGGGTGGACGGGGACACTGACCCTCTTCCAGATGAGTGCAGCCCCCTTGCAGATGTGGGTGGGGAGCTCGCTACAAATTAACTCCCTTCCAGACAGGCACACACGGGCCCCTTTGACAAAAGTCTTCTTGACCAAACTCAGCTCAGAGCCCTCTGAACTCTCTCATCTGGGCCTTGATGTCTGGACTTCCATCTCTCTCTGTCATCCGGTTATAGCAAGGATGCTTCTGCGTTGGTTTAGCCAGGATCCCTGCTCTCCATCTCTGTTTGGTCACCCTGGTGTCTGATCAGGTCCTTAGCTTCCACAGCCCCCTAGGTGGTGTCTGATTTCTCCAGCCTCCTCAGCTATAAGCCTGTTAGGTCAGTTTGGCAAGAACCCCCTCATCCCTGGGGTTTCGTCTTGGTAATTTTCCATTCACCAACCCTAACCTTATTCCTTAACCAGAAATCCCCCTTTTCCTTGCTGTATTTGGACTCCCAGTTTCTCCTCCTCACCAGGAGACTCTAATGCTGTGGTTCCTATACCCTTGAATAAATTCCACGCTACTGTGCTTTGACAAGTGTCATTGAAGAACTTTTTCTTTCGCATCTTCAGATGGAGATAGAGAGGCCTCTGGGCTCATTTCCTATCAGATACCGAGCGAAAGAAGCCAACTCCTTGGCAGGTACCTAAACCCCCCAGCAGGGCAAGTCAGTGCACATTGGAGGTGGGGACTGTGGGCAGGGCAGTTGCAGTGGGAGGGAGGGGGCGGAGCCTGCTTTTTCTAGGGCATCTGTCACCTGCCTCCTGCCCAGGGGCACTGCCCCAGCCCTACCCTGTCAGCGTGTGCGGTAGTGTGAAGCTGGGGCCCACTCCCCAGTACCTCCGGAGCACATCAAGATTTCAAGACCTATGTCACTGGCCCCCTGGAACCCAGAACATGGCAGATGGGGTGCAGGCCAGCCCCAAAGGGTTCAGGAAGAAGGTGCTGGTTAGACGGTCCTCTGGGTGGAAGGACCCAAGCCTCAGTGCCTCTTCCCCATTGAGATGCTCCAGGTAGGTGCCTGTTGACCCAGGATGGAGAGGGCCCGGGATGGGGGGTTGTGCTGGCTCCTAGAATCCGTTTCTCCTGAAAGGAGACCTCTGAGTCTCTGAGTGCCGGACTGACGAATGTCACTACATTTTCAGCCCTAGAAGGGCTTTGGGGGCGTTGAGTCAATCGTCCTACAGCACTTGAGGCCCAGAAAGACTAAAGGATCTCTCCACGGTTACTCAACATTTTGGAAGCAGAGCCAGCCCTAGAATCCGGGACCCCAGATCTTTTGGCTCTGGGTTCAGGAACCAGCTTGCAGGATAGGTCGCATGACTCCGGGTCCCAGAACTACTCCCGGGAGTAGGAAGGGGAGAGGTTCTGACCTGAGACAGTAGCTCCCTGTTTTGGAAGCTTTTGGGCGGAGGGAGGCTGGTCCCGGTGCTTCCCAGCTATGCCGCTCTAGGGTGTGATACTACAGGGAGGGCGGGTGGGGCGTTAATCACGGAACCAGGTGGCGGCTACTGGACCATCGAGGAGCAGCCTGGGTGATGCCTGTGGTGGGGCCCAGAACTGCAGGATCATGCAGGGTGAAGACTCAGGCTCAGTTTCCTCTCTCAGGTCCGGCCTGGGTGTGAAGAAGTTCTTGGCCATCACCATCCTGGCCGGCAGTGGTGAGCATTGCTCTGGGAGCTCCTGCCCCACACCTCCCTCCTGTGACCCTGGGCACCTGCATTATTGCCCCACTGGCCAGGCAGCTCCTTCCTCTCTCTGGGCCTCCACTTCCCAGTCCGGCTTCATCCTCTCCTCTGGGGTTGTTTACTCCTCAGCCACCTGTAAGCACGCCAGGGGCCTTGGCATTTACGAGCCGTGAGGGAGCAGAGCGCGTCGCTAAGCAAGCGTCCAGAAGTGATGTTGGCACGCGTTTGTGTGCTTAAGTGTGTGTACATGTCTGCAAGAGTTAATGAGTTTGTACACTGCAGCTAGATGCAAGTTAGTATGTCGTCTGGGTGTGTCAGAACAGGTGGGAATGTCTGTGTGTGCAGCGCATGTCCAGAAAATGTGTGTCGGGGTTTACACTGAGTGTGTGGACCCGTGTGTGTATCTGTGTGAGCGTGCATTCATTGTGGCATGCGCCTCCAGAATGTGAGTGTGAATGTAAGACACAGCACTCTGCACAAGGGTGGGTGTGGGTTTGTGGGCTCCTTTCCAAGGGGTGGTGGTCCAGTCATCATGGGTCAGGGCCAGCTGCCCCCAGGATTGTCAAGTGAAGCTCCCGAGATACCTCTGACTCCACCGCACACGCTGATGTTCCATCGGCAGCTCCTCTGGTGTGTGCGGAATGCTGCCTGAACCTCTTGCAGGCTTTTCTCACCGCCCCGAACATCACCCGAGCACAGCCTGGCTTGTGGAGAAGTCCATGAGAAAGGGCTATTCGCATCCAAGCACAGTGCCCTGCCAGTTACAAAGCTACTGCTGTGTGCAGCCCGAGAGCCTGCAGCTGGGCTGGCTGCAGACCGGGTGTCTTCTGCCTGGAGTGCGTGTGTGGATGTGACCTCAGCGCACACCACTGCTTCTCCCCTGGGTGCCACGCGTGTGAGCACATTTGTGAGGAGTGAGAATACATGTGTGCAGGAGTGGGAAGGGTGTGAGTGTGTCTGGGGTCTGTGTGAGCCCAAGGGTGTGAAGCAGGTGCACGTAAGAGCGGGTGTGCGCATGCACGTCCCCACTGGGTGACCAGGTAAGTTCCCACTCTTTTGCTTCATGGAAGCTGACAGTCAGGGGGTCTGGGGCCTGGAGCCATCATACCTCCTATAACATCCGCACAACAGATGGGGAGACGGGGACCCTGCGTGGGAGAGGAGGTGGCCAGAGCCTCACGCCTCGGGCAGGTGCTCTCTGCACATGCATGGTGGCACTTAAACCCCGAGGGCCTGTGAGACGATGTCACTCTTCTCAGTCCTCAGATCCTAGAACTGAAGCTGAGTTCGCCAGAGTCTTGGTTAAACCTATTTTCCAGCCCAATCCTGGGTGGCTCCCAAGCAACTTCACACTTACAGTTTTCTTCCAGAGGACTCAATAAGAGGATAGGGAGCAGCCCTGGCACCTGCTCTCGGCAACAGGCCTTTCAGGCCAGCCCCTGTCTGCATCTAGGAGAAGGGCTCAGGACTACTGGAGGCAGTGCCCTCCCTCCTGCCCTGAACCCCAGCCTAGGACACTTCCGAGGTGATAAGCCACTCTCTTCAGAGTCATCTTTCATTTTCCCCTTGTCCTTCTTCTTTTCCTCTTCTTTGCTCTTTGTTCTCTGAATGGTGGACACCGTACAGTCAACCCCAGAAGACTCTGGGGGAGCAGGATTCCCAACCTACACCCCGATGGTGAGACAGGCCTGACCCAGGGCCCCACCAACCCCTGAGAGGCGGCACTGTGGTGGCTGCAAGGATCTGGGATGAGCTAGACTCACGCCAGGCACTGGCCCACAGGTCTGTCCCAGCCCAGGCAGTCACCCCCATCGTACAGATGTGGAAATGGATCCCCAAGGAGCTGTTGTTTTGGGTTCAAGTCTGCTTGACTCCAAAGTCTGAGCTCTTCCGCGTTGGTTGCGGTGGTGATCATTCTCCATCACTAGAAGTTTTGAACAACCGCATCTCAAAAAGCAAGTGTAGCCCTTGGGGTCCATCAAGCCTCTGAAGTCCTCAACTTTCTCTGAGAACATTTCCTAGTTCATGCAGGAGGGCAGAGCGGGGAGGAACTCGGAGGGAGCAGGAGGCAGGCACTGATCCAGGCACTTAACCCTGGGTGCAGCTGGAGGCGCCCAAGGATAGAAATTGCAGGTGAGGTCTGTGCTGCATGACGGTTAACATCCCAGCTCAGGGCCAACAAACCCAAGTTCCATTCTGGGCTCTGCCACTTCCGGCCTGTAGGACCCAGGTGAGCTTTCACCTTTCTGGGCCTTAATTTTCTCACCCATAAATGGAGATAGAATGACTTTCCTGCTGGTGTGTGGGGTGGCTTCGCCCAGGAAAGGACTATGGGTGCCAGGAGCATGCATCCCAGCACTGGGTGGGCCTAGTGAAAACCAGGAAGTGGATTTGTCTGGTATAGGAAATGTCCTTGCACTACTGCTTCCTCTGTGCACGCATTAGTGTGTACATGTGTGTGTGCATGAACACACGTGGGTGTGCCTCTCCCAAACACCAGCCAGCCTGAGCCAGCAATAGGAAACCCTTTCTGAATTTTCTCTGGATTAAGCCTGAGAGGCACAAACTCCAGGCTGAGATGGGGACCCTGACTCTCACAGGGGGCAGAGACGGGCCAGGGAAGGAGAGGAAGGACCCAGAATCAGAGCCCTATAGCTCCTAACCACATGTGGCATTTGCAAAGCCCCTCCAGCGTGTGAGGCATGTGGCAAGCCCCTCCTTAGGGACCATGTTCAATTCAGATGGTCCCCAGCTCGTGATGGTTTGACTTGAATGTTTTGGTTTTTTTTTCTCACTTTATGATGGTGAAAAATAACACACATTTACTAGACACCATATTTCAAATTTTGAGTTCGGATGTTTTCCCAGGCTGGTGAGACACAGGGAGATCTTATAATGGGTTTATCAGCATGTACCATCATAAATGGAGGAGCATTTGTACAGCCAAGTGACACAGGGTGTGGGTGAGGAAACCTCACTGCCTGGATCCTGGTTCTGTCTCCACCCCTCTTTGACGACTTGACCTTGGACAAGTTAAAAATTGCTCCAGCCTCAGCCTCCTTATCTATAAAAAGAGATGACTGCTTGAGGGCTGCAGTGAGTACTCCAAGCACGGTGCACAGAAGAGCTCAGGACCGTGCCTGGCACGGAACGCGGCCTCAGCTAGAATGAACGTGCCAGTTCCTCGGGAACGTAAGCTGTAATGCAGGACATCGGTAATGCACCGTCTTCGAGACCTTGCAGATTTCCTCTCTCCTTTGCTCTCTGCACTGCCCTACCTCTCCTGCTTTCCCCCTTTCCTCCCCTTTCCCTTGGCCCTGGGCAGGGGGAGGACAGTCATGGGGTAGGGCTCACACATCCCTTTGGTTCTCTTGCAGTTTTGTCCACTGCCTATGGCAGCCTGTTCAACCTCAAGTCCATGGTGGAGGCCGTCACAGGCAGAGGCGCCATCCTGTCCTTCGTGGGCTATGGCTGCTACTGCGGGCTGGGGGGGCGCGGCCAGCCCAAGGATGAAGTGGACTGGTAGGTGCTGCTGCTCTGGGCTCTTGTCGGGGACCAAGGGGACAGCTGAAGGTCCATGTTGGCCTCCGTGTTTGTGAGGACAAAGGAAGCCCTCTCCCAAAGGACAGGGCCTATTTGATGTTACGGGCGATTATCCTGACCTTTGACCATGTCTTCCCCATCTGCCTTGGAGCCTTTGTGTTTTCCTCCTCCAAAGTCTCGGGCAAAGGCACGCATGGAACCTTTGCTGGGTTCCCAAATGCACAAGGGAACAACAGTCACACAGCTGATCTCTGAACAGCAAGGACCATGACACTTGCTCCATTGGACTGGAAGCTCTGGAGGACAGGGCTGTGCTTCCTCTGCCAGCCTGGAAGTCCCCCACACCATGGCTTCTACGCCACCTCCCTTACAGCAAGCAGCATCCAGGGTGGCGTCACTGGGAACTTAACAAATGCGTGCTGACCACTAATTTCATTCCTCCAGAGGTGACAGGGACAGCCGCTCTGCACCTACTGCCCACCCCCCTTCTGGCAATGCCCGCTGACCCTCCAGACCATATCCCTCCATGGACACTCGACCCAGCCAGGCGGAGCCTCTGCATCCAGAGCCCAGGCCCCTGCCTCCCACACTGACCTCACTTCGGGGCCCCCTAACAGTCCCCACACCCCAGCAGCTGTATGCTGGGCTCCAGCTGGGGAAGGTGGGAACTCTGAGGATAGGATAAGAGGTGGGAATAAGGACAAGATCCCAGGACACCAGCCCCAGCTCTGCGTGTGGTTACTCAAGCGAGTAACTGGCCCTCCCTGGGCTACAGTCTAAAGGTCTGACCCACGAGGGACAGGGACAGATGGTCTGCTGGGGAGGAGGAATGGACCAGCTGGCTATTTCTGCCTGCTCACCCCTGCCCACTCCCAGGTGCTGCCATGCCCACGACTGCTGCTACCAGAAGCTCTTTGACCAGGGCTGCCGCCCCTATGTGGACCACTATGACTACGTGATCGAGAATGACACTGTGATCGTCTGCAGTGAGTCACCCCCTCAACAGTGGTCTCACCCTGTGTTGTGCCCCATTGTGCTGGGATCTCAGGCAAACAATGAAAAACATGTGGCATAAGCGTGTCCCAAACATTGCATGGGACAAAGTGACACTAACAAGTAAACATCCGTCTAAAGTCAACCGTAGCATAAAATTAAGAATTAGCGCAAGCCTCGCTTCTCAGCCTTTTGGCTAAGATCAAGGGTAGGAATTAGCACAAGCAAGCAGTTGGTGTTAGAACTGATGAGCACACACACAAATGAGTGTAAGTACTTCCTGCCACTCAATCACTCCATCCAGGGTGGGGGGTTTTGGCCCTGGGACTGGAGTAGGGAGGCCTGGGAGAGGAGAAAGAGTAAAATTACGGCCAGGGTGGACCTCTGGTTTTCTGGATGACTTAGATAAACCGTCCCTCTTTCTGGGCCTCTGTCCAACTATACAAAGCCCATGTTGGACTTCAGTGGTTTCCTGGTTTTCACCTGCACTAGACTCACCGCAGGATTTGTTACAATAAACTGAAGGACCCCATCTGGAGCAGCTGGCCCCACAGCCTGGGATAGGGCCACATTCTCGGGGCCCCTGGGGTCCCAAGGTCTGCGTCCCCATCCCCCAACATCCTGGTGTGGCTGCTGCCCCACCAGTCAAAGCTTTGCACCCTTCCCATCCCCAGGCGAGCTCAACAAGACAGAGTGTGACAAGCAGACGTGCGAGTGTGACAAGAGCGTGGCTCTGTGCCTCAAGAACCGGGTGTACAGGGAGGAGTACCGTGGCTACCTCAACATCTACTGCAAGGGTCCCATGCCCAACTGCAGCATATACGACCCGCTCCCAGAGGTCACCTATGGATATGGCTCCTCAGCAGCCCCTGCCCTGCCCCAGCACCTCTGAGGTCAGAGAGCCAAGAGGGAGGAGGGTCTGGCTGGGGGACCAGACGGATGGAGCACATGCAGATGGGCCAGATCTGAGCCCAGTGCTGCCGCCCTGCTGCCCCTCCCCAGAGCCTACAGTCTCCTACAGAGACCCCACCAGCTCTTCCAGCTCAGCCCTGGAGTGGGGGCTTCCTCGTTCTGCTAGTTCTGGCCTTGGTAGGGAGCACGTGGCTTGTTGGGGTCTCTCCAGAGTGCGGAAGACAAGACCTGAGAAGGAAGAACAGGCTCCGTTGCTGGCCCCAGCCTGACCTGAGAGCCTTTGAAACCCAGCCTCTTCCAGAGACCTGGCTCAGGATGGCGCCTCTGCCTCAGGGCCTTTGGGTGCATTAGAACCTACTAACAGAGCAGGTGGCTGCTCCCCTACCATCACGGAGGTGACACAGCACACCCGGGCCAGGCACCAAACACATGTCCCCGCCCCAAAGTCCAAGAACCTCTGAGCAGGCTCCCGGGCACAGTGACACTGGCCTGAGTGCATAGGAACTAGGACGGGGGTGCGTGAGATACACCCCCAATATGCACAGCTCTTCTCCCGACCTGTGACCCACGTACACAAGAGATGCACCCCGCCCTGCCCACACACTGCTCTGAGGATGGCCCTAAGCACCCCCCAGTGCAGAGAGTGGCAGGGCCAGCCCGAGCGGCCGCACCGAAACAGCCAGCCCAGGACGGAGGACACTGACCCTCTGTTCCGGTGCAGGGAGAGGTCAGGAGTCTGTAGTCCTGTTTGCAAGAAGAGGCTGGGGGTGAGACTCACTCCATGAAGAGGGACAAAAGAGAAAGGAAAAGGAGGCTGGGGGACCTTTGCAGAAGCCAGGAGGGAGGGAGCGAGGTGGGGAAGGGGGAGGGCGCAGGAGAAGGCACGGGGCAGGATGGAGGCCCCGGGTGCCGCAGAGGTGAGGGACCCGGCTCCACAGCCCACCTGCCCTACGGTGCCCAGGCCTGCTTCTCCAGGTCTCTGTCCCTCGCTGGCCTCGACTTCCACGTGGGGTCAGGGACACCACAGCCGACCCTGCCTCACATCTCCTTCCGCCTTCATCTGTGTCCATCCCAAGGACCCACAGAAGCCACCCCTGCCTGGAAGCTGAGAAGAGCCGCGTGTTTGGTCTGTTCAGGTGGTGTCCCAGGGGAAGAGAGCCAAGCGCAGGTGGAGGTGGAAGCAGGCAGCGACATCTGCAAAGACAGCGGAATAGGCCAGAAGCCTCACCATGCCGCACAGAAGCTCCTAGAACAGCAGCCCTGGGACCGAGGAGTCGCCCTTCCAGGACCACCTCTTCCAGCTGTGGTGTGACCCGACCTGCCCAGTCACAGGATCTCTCTGTGCTCTCAGGAGCCCGCCCAGGAAGCCTCCTCCCTCTCCCCTCCCAGCCAGGGTGGGCTGGGATGAACAGGACACTCGTCCTCCTGCGTGGTCGTGGCCCCAGGCCCGTGGACTGTCCCTCTGCGTACAGCCTTGTCTTCTGAAGGCCCACACCTGCATGAGGGCGGAGACTCTACAGTTATGAGGTCCCCCCCCCCACATTTCCCAGATGCTGCAGCCCCCGAAATCTCCACAGGCCTGGGCACCCCCTCTTCAAATTAATAAAGGCCTTCTGCCTCCATTCCCTCTGCTGGGCCCTTCTCGGTCAGGGTCCAGAGGCCACAGGGATCCATCACTTCAGGAGGTCAATGCCGGGGCAGAATAGCAGAGGCTCAAGGAGGGAAAGGAACTTGCCCAAAGCCACACAGGCCTTAAGCGGGGCTCTGAATCCCGAGTGTCCGACTTTCCCACTCTCCCTGTGCCTCCCTAGTGGCGACAGGCAGCTGGGTCACAGAAGGAGTAACGGGTCCTGGATAGCAGCCGGTCTCCTGTCTCTCCCAGCTGTTTATCCATTGTCCCGTCTGTGAAATGGGACCACAACTCTGGCCTGAGCGGTTGCAGGTGTCACGACAGTGGGGCGAAAGGGCTCTGTGAGCTAAGAGGGTGTGAGCTCCAAGGGGAGGTGGACTCGGGAGCTCATGACCTTCCTGCTGGCCGCACGGTGTGGAGAGCACAGACAGACACTCCTGTCCACACGGCATCCCCAAGGTGTCGCAGAGGTAGTCAGGGCGGAGCTAGAACAGTGTCTTGGGTCACCCTGGGGTGTGGGAAGGAGCAGGGCTTAGCTTACATCTTGAGGGAGGCTCCTGGCACCTGCAGAGTGAGGTCTCCTTCCTGGAACTTCCTTCTGGTCACTTTCCAAGTCGGTGAGATTTTCCACACTGAGGATGGAAGGCGCTGTCCTTGCTCCTTGCTGGCCTAAGGCTGCTACCCTCCCCGGCCTAGGTCCACCCCTGTTTTCCACTTCCTAAGACTCATCCCTTTTTTTCCCCCTCTTCTCAGCTTTAGGACCTTAATTTTTTTGGATCCTTTTCTAGAATTCGGGCGACACCTAGTGGACATTACAGGTCACCACCAGGGCTGTACTGCACACCTCTTGCATCTCTGCTCTGCAAAGACCCTGCCCCAGGCAGACAGCACCCAGCGGAAACAAGGAAACCATTAGCGTCCCCTCAACCATCTCATTATTATCACCAGCAGCACTCACAAAGAGCAGCCCTTGAAGCCCGGAACAGACTGGGTGGCAGTCGCAGCTCAGCTACTCACGCACACGCTGTGTGGTCTTGGGCAAGTCACATCTCGCTCTGAGCCTCAACTCCCCGCCTTCTGTACAGCGTGGTCAACCCTGAGGGGCCTATGAGAAGGGACTGAGTGAGGTCGGGGATGAGAAGGCCCCGGCATAGGGCCCGGCGTGGGGGGCGGGAACTGTCAGTCAGAGAAGGGTGTGGGGCCTCAGGGTCGGGCTGGCCAATAGGAGCAGGCAGGAAGAGCCGCTGGCGGAAGCGGATCCCTTCTCCCCAAAACAGAAACTTGGCAGAATCAGAGCCGTAGCTTAGCAAGAAACTTGGCTTCGTGGGACGTGGCACTTCCGGTACGTGTGTGTGAGGGGGAAGGAAGGATGAAAGGAGGAGGAGGGACAGAGAAAGCAAGGTCCTGAGGGCATTTATTGTCCCCAAGCCATAGCCAGGCTCCTGGCCCTCTGCCTGACCCTGTCCTCAACTGGACCCCGAAGCCACCTCTGTGCAGCCTCGACCATGACTGTGGAGAGGCAGCCTTTTCTTCCCCAGAGGCTGCCACAGACACACTGCTCTTAGCTCTCCCAGTTGTGCCTCTCTAACATGCAGCGGATGCTACCAACTGTGAACAATAAAGTCCTGGAGGAAATTCACCAAGGTTTCCAGCATCAGGATGGGTACAGGGAGATAGACAGGAAGAGAACAGGTAATATATGGAGTTGACAATGGCCACCCTGCTGGGACATCCTGTCAGGCAGGCGTCCCGGATCCCAGAATATCAGGGCCAATGGGAGAAATAAAGCAGGATGAATTGAGCACGTACTATATGCCCCAAACCATGTTAGTGCTCTGCGTGTGCGTCTCATCTCACGGCATCCTCCCACTAGCCCTCCAAAGTGGGGGCTATTCAGAGCTTTGTTTGTAGAATGAAGACCCTTAAAGCCCAGAGACACTAAGTCAATTTCTCAAGGTCACGCAGGATTTGAATCTAACTCCTGAGCCTTAACCTTAGAAAGCCTCTGGTTCGACATCTTACTCCCAAGCAAGGAGGCAGGAGATCCAGAATCAGAAGATGGGGTTTGCCTTCCAGCCCACCGCACACTAGCGGACCGCTTGTGACAAAGCCCCAGTCCTCGCTGGCTCTCCATTTTCCCCGGCGAAATGGGCATAAGTAATGCCCGAGGTCCTTCTAATGGGCAATGTGACAAGCCCTTCACTGTGCCAAGTCTTGGAGGGCTGGGATTTCAGTGGCACCTGTCTGGGGACTGGTGTTCATGTGTCCCATGTGCCTGGGACGAGGCAAGCACTGGGTACCCAGAGGCTGTCTCCTCCAACGACTGAGCCTTGGAGGGGACACCTGGACTCCCCCACTCCGCAGCTCGGCCTCTCAGGGGCAGGGTCACACCCTCAGAAACGATCTCAGAAAGGATGCTTGGCGGCCCATGGCCTGAGCCACCAGTCCATACAGTCAGCGACCCACAGAGCCACTCACCCAGCCCGGCAGGGCTGGAGGCCACACTCCACACAGCTGTCGTGCCCTTCCTGACTTTTCAGATACACTGGCGTGGGAATGGAGAACTGCAAGTCTGCCTCCTTCGGCTCCCACACACAGAGCCAGCCACAAAGGGCAACGGCCACTCCGGGGTGAGGCGCTGAACCCCAGACAAGCCCTCCATGGAGAGGCCACCACTCCACCACCCCGACCTCTGACAGCTGCATCCCGATCTCAAGAAGCATGGGTAAAATCTAAAGAGAGTTGCTGTAAAAACACATTTGTTTTCAAAGCCTCTAACAGCAGTGCATGCAGAAGAGGGAACTCACAGCATGAGTCCTCACTCCCACATGGCACAGGGCACAGCCTCCACGTAGCTCCACCTTGCTCCTAAGGACCCGCAAGCTCCGGGAGGCTGGGCCGCCCAAGGCCGTACGTGGGAGAGCGGTGGGAAGCTCAGAACACCACAGACCCCGCTGCTCCCAGGGTTCGGGTCAGATTTCTGAGTCACCACAAGCTCTTCTTGTCCCAGCCCTGCCCCTCATCTTTTTGCTGGCCCTAAACACCCCTCTGCTGCCTTTCATGGTCCTTAGCTACTTCCCGCACTTTCTCCATGCTCTCTTGAGCTCCAGTCACTCCATAAATGCATCAGAGATTTTTTTTCCAAAGGATAAAGATCCTTGCCTTCATAATTGTCTATTCTAGTGGGGCAGACAGACCACATAAAGGACTGTAGGTGGGTGTGCAGCCCATCGGGTGGGGTAGAAAAGAACTTAAGGGAAAGCCAGAGAGGACAAGAAAGACCAGGGCAGTAGGAAACAGGTAGCTTTGAAAAGATGTGGGATTGGGGGAGCCTTTGGCACACGGGCATAGGGGTGAAATAGGTAGACCCAGTCAGCCTGTTGGTCTGACATGTGGAGAAGACTGAAGGGTGAGGGTAGATGCAGGGAGGGTGGTGAGGAGCAGATGCCGTAGCCCAGGCACAGGCGATGGCAGTCTCACCCCAAGATGGCGAGAGACAGTGAATGTGGTAAGACATGGCCAGATTCTAGAATGTTCCCTTTTACCTCTTTCCACATAAACCTTTGACTGAAGCCCTATAAAATTTCAGAATCTAGATGCCTCGGGAAGGTTACGCCAGCAGCTTGAATGTGGGCAGGAGATTTAAAAAGAAGTTGGCGGCCTGGTTAAAAAGAAGTTGCCTCAGCTGCGATGCGGGAGGCAGGTGGATGAGGAGCCTGTGCTTGCCTTTGTCGAATCCTCTTCAGTCCCTGTATCTGGGATGTGCAGCCCACCCCCACTTGGCCTCCCTAACTCCTCCCCGTTTTGCAGTGTTCCTTGAGTAAGTCTTCCTGGACAGTGGTCCGGCTCCCAAGCTGACCCCATCCCAGAATTTCCCAGCATGCTCTGCCGTCATGTTTGCTGTCTCCCCCTGGGAGTACGATGTCCCTTTACCTCTCTGCCCCTCGCACAGGGCCTGGCCTGAAGTTGGTGCTCAGTACATATAGACTCCTTCCCTCTAAGGACAGTGAGGTTTCCCGGGGAGCATCAAGGTCATCCCTGGCCAGCCCCGGCTCGGAGCCAGGGCACATTCCAACAGGGCTCAAATATCATCAAGACCTATCCCTTCCACTACCAGACCAGGAGCTGGGCTCTGGGAATGGGAAGGGTCCCATCTCACGGGATCTGGATCTCACTGGATCTCACCGGAGCCCTCATCCCCCACAGAGCCTCAGCCTGGCCCCTCTTCCTCCACCGTGGCTGTTAGCCCCACACCCTCCCAGAACAGGCCTGGCCGGGGCTGTGATCGGGACCCTCCAGGCGGGGAGGTGCGGCTGGTTCAGCCTGCTCACCCTGGTCCCACCGCCCTCAGACCACTCAGGCCCTTCCTGGTGCTCAGGGGCCTCCAGCGCCCCTGCTGCAGCTGCTGTTTCTAAACACGTGCGGGTGGAGGAAGGAAGAGGGAGACCAGTTTACCGTGCAAAGGCAGGCTGAGCCAGAAGCCGGGGGCACTGGCCCTCGGACCTGCTGCGACTGTCCCCCGCCTGCCTCCCTTTCTGTCATCACGTCTCTTGCTTTCTCAATCCAGATTTTACTTCTGGACTCTATTTTATGTCTGGCCTTCGGCATATTCTTCCTAGGATTTTTAGACCTGACTTGTGCGTTTTCTTTAAGTCTCCGGATCCCTGCTTCCCAGCACTGTTTCTAGCACATAGCAAAGGCTCAGTAAACGTGTGCTGGGTGACCCGCCGATGGAACACAGTCCTCTTACACAAGTCACTTCCCCCCATGCCTAGCAGGGAAGGGGCAGGGGCCATGTCACAACATCTCAGCGGCCTCCGTGTCCAGTACCGTGCCGAGAACCCGGGTGTCTCTGTGATCTGAGACCAGGGGCATCCATTAGTTATTGGCACAGAAGGAGTTACACCAAAACACCATGGCTTAGAACAGCGGCCTTTATGTAGCTCACAGGTCTGTGTGCAGCCAGTTCACCTGGGCTCAGCCGGGTGGTCAGTCACCTTTGTCTGTATTGGGCTTTCTCAGGTGTTTGTGGCCAGCCACGAATTGGCTTTGTTGGTCTTGGCCAAAGTCTCAACTGAGACAACTGAGCCGATGATGCGAGTCCAGGTGGGTTCTGTTCAGCTGCAGGTGAACCTAGGCCTTCTCCAGGTGGAGGTAGGTATCCGAGAGGACTGTTCTGCATCTCCAAGACGAAGGCCTGGAACCGGCCACCGTCATTCACACCATGTTCCCGTGAGTAGAGCAAGTCACACAGCCAGTTCAGATCGAAGGGGTGAGAGAGGAGACTCTGCCCCTCGACAGGAAAAGCTGAGCATTACTGTGTTACAAAGAGCGTGCTGAGAGGCAAGAGCAATTGCGCCAGGTTCACAACTTCCTGTTCCAGCTGGGCACTATAAGCATCCGAATCCACCCGGATTAGATCATGGATCAGTCACTTTCTCCTCATAGCTGGGACAAAATACCTGACACCCACAACTTCAAAGAAAGACAGGTTTATTTGGCTCACAGTTTCCAGTGAGTTCAGTCCAAAGTTGTCAGACACACATAAGGAAGGGCATAGCGGTGGAGAGGTATACAACCCATGGCAGCTGGGACGCAGAAGGAGCGGGGAGGAACCCGGAACAAGAACATGCCCTTCCGGGTCACGGCCCGGGCCCCACCTCCCAACACACAGTCGGCTCCTGAACCCGTGGATGGATAGATCCACTGATGAGGGCAGCCCCGGAACAGCCACGTGGCAGTGGTGAGTGCCGATTTCCTTGTGGTGCCGTCTCCAGACACATGAAATCAGCATCGATTGTTTTCCTACCTGTGGATTTAGAGAGCAGACTTTGAGCAAATGAAATCCAGACTCCGAGAGCGTCTCTCAGATCTCTACTTTGTTCCAAATCCTGATTTGGGGTGGGAGTGGAAGGAGAGTTTGGGGAGAGCCAGAGGCTTCTCCCGCGTCTTTCTATCCTGTTGCTTTGTTCTGTTGCTTCCTAGCACTTACTGCTGGAAAGTATCAGTGACTTAGCAGATATACTCGCGTTCTGTCTCCCTCCGCAGAGCACGGGTGCTCCCTGTGTCTGAGCTCCAGGCCTCACGTGTGGTGTGAGGGGGGGAACCTGAGATGGTGTCGCGTTGAAGGGGAAGCTACAAGAACGGGAGCCCCTCAGGGATGGCTGGAGGTGGCTTCCTGGAAAAGTGCACCGCGAGGGGCTGTGGCCTCCCTAGCCCTGGCGCTTATGTCCACTGCATTGCGGCCGGCTGGAGAAGAGCTGCTTGAAGTTCTTCTCATAGGTGGGCAGGCTGTCTTTGAAGCAGTACACGGATCTCTTGTCACACTCGCAGGCCTTCAGCCCGCAGAGGCAGCTGCCACTGGGACCCGGGCTGCATCCACCTGCAGAGACACACAGGGTCACCGAGGTCCCCTCTCCCCTAGGGGTCAGCTGTAAGGTTGGGGAGATCAGGGAGCTGCAGGGGCCAAGGGTTGAGGACAGGAAGGGGAGGAGCCAGGAGTCCTTGTCCTTCATCGTCACAGCCCTTCTCATTACATCCGGGCATCCACAGTGCCGCTGAGAAGGAAGCCGGAGGGGGCGGGAGAGTGGGCTGCGTGGAGGGGGCTGAATCACTGCACCTGAGCAGCGTAGGGGCCAACGGGCCAGAGCTCGCTTCGTTTCCCACTGCCCACTCCCCATCCCGCGTGGATACACCAGGAACCCCCTCCACCAGCCGAGCCTGTCCTGCCTCCCTATCCAGTCACGGCACCGACTCTGGCTTGAGCCAGAAAACTAGGGACCGGCCTCTTTTCTCCTCTTTTTTCACTTTCCACATCTGGCCTCGACTACTGCGGATTTTCGTGCTCCGCTTTCTTTCCTGCATTGTCCCAGCCACCACCCGAATCTCTGTCATTACAGGCCCTTCCTCCTTCATGGAAAGGAATAAGCAGGGGCAGGTTTACAATGTCACCGCTGCGGCGCTGACTGCTCAGGGAAGACGTCCCCAACCCTTGTGGTGGCCCTCAGGGCACACTCGCTGTGACTTGGCCCCGCCCGCACCCCCTCCCCAGAGAGCCTCCACCCGCCTGCCTTCGTTCCCTCCAGGCACACAGTATGTCTTGCTCTGTCTTGTCCCGGGGCTTTCCCCATGTTGTTTTCTGGTTCGAAAACTCCTCCTCAGGACCTTCCAGTGGTAGGATTCATCCTACACTTTGGATCTTGGTCAAATTCCACTTCGCCGGGGAAGCTCTCCCCAGCTACCCAGTCTGAAGCTTTCCGGAGCTATTCTCACAGCGTATTTCTTATTTCCGTGCCCCGCAGGGGTCTAAGGCACGTCTTCCCCTCTCTACACACCTACTTGCCACAGTTTGCACGTCCTTGTTTGTTGACTTGCCAGACCTGCCCTTTCCGCTGTAGCGTGAGCTCCTCGAGGCTGAGACTGTGGTTCCCCACAGCTCCCCAACACCCAGACCAGAAGCTCGAGCATCAGAGCTGTTCAAGAAAGAGCCGGCGAAGAAGGGAACAGACCTCTGTGGGCCTCTGAGGTCAGCATCTGCCCTATGGCTGAGCAGAGATAGGGCCCGTTTTTGTTTTCGTTTTTGTACCAGGGATTGAATGAGACTTGTGCTTTTGAGGCAGGTGGCAGCACCACTGAGCTAAATCCCCAGCCCTCGGGGCCTTTTTATTGAGTAGTCAGAGCCCCCCCACTCCGGTGTGTGTGCACCCAGGGACGGTCTAAGGTACACCTTCCCCTTCTGCATAGCTCTACTCCAGTTCCACTCCCTTTGTACAGCTGAGAGGAGCAAGGAGGCCACCAGAGGCCATTCTGTGACCCAGGGCAAGTCATCATTGTGGAAACAGCAGGGTCACGGGTGAACAGCACACCTTCCTGGGATGGTGGTGGGCTCCCTGGGTGGCTGTTCCCAGCTGGAGAGCACTCAGCGGAGGCCCGGCCCTATGGCACAGCTGGGTGCCCTGGCTCCGTGTGGGCAGAGCCACCGCCGCTCCCCTGGTCCAGCACTGAGTGCACTGTGTATCTGCCGTCCTCCCTCTCTGGAAGCCCACGCTCCTCCCGGAGCTGTCCTCCCACTCCCGTCTGGAAATGTGATTTCTCGAGGCCGATGACACCGCTCCGTGCCTCAGCTGCCCCTGGCCACTCACCCTCAAGAAGGCGCCAAGGACTTTCACGCTGCTCCCCTCATCCTGCCGCCTAGATCACCTTCGCCCTCCTACTCTCCCTTCTCCGTCTTTGAGAATCCCCCCAGGGCCAACAAGCCCCAGCTTCCCCGGGAATAGGCTCTGAGCTGGTCCCCAAGCTGCCCCGGCACCCCGACCCTCCCAGAGCAGCACCTGGCCGGGGCATCCCCACAGGGGTCGACGCCGGCCAGAGGCTTGGTGTTTAATAACAGCCCTCTCCTGGGAGCTAATGAGCCTGGGAGCACTACAACGGTCCCTTCACAGGCTGCTTCCCAAGCCCCGCTGGCCTCCCACCAGGCCCTGCCTCTTAAAGGGCCACCACTGTTCAACACTGCCACACTGGACACCGCACGATTCTCCTCTCTACTCTTGTCCTCAGCTTTCAGCTAGGACAGAGATACCTGCACTATCTGTGTATGGGTTCTTTTCATTCACTCACTGAACCAACAGGAAGTGAGCTCCTGGAGTAATGCCTGGTTTGGCAAGGCGCTGGGGTACAGGTACGAGCAAGGACACTTCCGGATTGCACAGGTCGGGGGAGGGCATGGTCCTCTGTGGGCTCTGTGAGCATGAGTGCACCCCAAACCAGGCAGGCTTGCCTCTGTCCTGGGAGCTTGCATTCTAGTCTGGTGGAGGTGGAAGGGTCAATACATAAGTACGCAAAGAAGGGACAAGGTAATTTCAAGGGGAGACGCGTGGCAGTGAGTGAAGGCTGTGGTGTAGAACCTTTTACAGTAAATGAGAAAGGTCTTTGCAAACTAAGCTTCTAGCAATTACCACTTCCACCTTCCCCCACTGGCAGAGAGAGGCATCAGAGGCCTGGAGATGGAGGTGACAGTGTTACAAGCGGCTGGAACTGCTTTCTGCCTCCCACGGCTTGCCTCCTCCCCGCATAACACATGCATGTACGTGTGGGCAGACGGGGGTGTCACTGCTGGGTGATCTTAAAGTCCTTGCAAATGCTAAGTGCTTATGTAACTCCCTCAAAGGAGGGACAGCCACCTTGCAGGCCTCAGGAGGGCAGCTGTCCCCTTCTCCAAGCCAATTGGCCCCTGGGCTTGGTTAAAGACCTTTCCCTGCACTAATCTTCCAGTGGCATTTGGAGACATGGACAGGCCCAGTTGTTTCCTTCCTTCCCCTCCCCTGCTCACCTACCACATCTCTCCCTGCCAGCTGCCTGTTGCTAGGCAACCTGGGACCAGGCTTGGGTGCAGGATTTCAGAGCTCCAGGAGGTGGTTAACCCTTCCAGGGCTAGCTCTTTGAACTGAAGTGGAATCAGTGGTGAGAAAGGAGGTTTTATCCCATACGGGTCACATGAATAACCTGAGCCCAAGGGGAGGCAAGTGCTCAGCAGGCTTCACAGAAACCTCCGCACTGTGAAAAGTAAAAGCCAAACAAAAGTGTAGTGTGTTCCCACACAAGACAGAGGAAACAAAACCTGGACAAAACAAGATCTCTCCCTGTCCAAACAGAAGGCGCTCGCTCAGCGTCCATTATGGGACAGACCTTCAGCAGGTCACCTCCAGCAACCTTGTGAGGGCCACGTAATTGACCCCATTTAAAGATGGGGAGACTAAGGCTTGGCTGGGAGAGTCAAGGCTGCGGTCAGGCCCAGCTTTGCCTGACTGAGCCCTCTTAGCTGGAAAGGAAATTTCTAGGGCATTAGAGAAGTCCAAACTCCATCTGCCCATCTTTCCCCTTGCTGGGCCAAGACAGGATTCTGACTGCAGGACAGTTCACTGTAGACCCTGGGATTTCCCTCTGTGGGACAGCCTAGCCACCCCACACATGCCTGTCACCGTCTACAGCACAGTGTAACAGAAGGCAAGGCCACCTGGGTCTGATCCCAATTCTTCTTTCCCTAGCTGTGTGACTTTGGCCACCTCACTTAATCTCTCTGAGCCTCAGTGCCTTCCTTGATAATGGGGAGAATAAGGCTCACCTCGGAGGTCTATCATGGGAGTTCAAGTGCGTGTGCAAAGTGTGTATCGCAGATGCACCAAAGCTGCTGTGTTTTTGCACCCGTTTCATGGATGAGAAAACCAAGGCCTAGACAATCAGGCCAGGCAGGAAGTTCTGGGGCACTGGAAAGGCTCAAGACCCACGTGTCTTACTCCTGCTTATTACTTGGGTCAAACTCTTCCTATCTCTGGGCTGTAATGAGAGGTTGGTTTGGCCCAAGGGACCCAGAGTTTTCAAAAGACCATGAATAGTAAGAGAGCAGGGTTAGGCCGGCCTTGCTGTCTGCCTGGCCCCCAGCATAGGGCTCCCACTGATAGGGACCCAGTGGGTATTGAGTCACCACTGAGCTGGTGATGGATGGGGTTGGCTTAGCCCACAGCAGACCCAGCAGCAGAACTCTGGTCACCTGGCTCTCACCAGAAGGGGGTGCTGTTACCCTGGTGCCAAACCAGAAGCCTCCTCCCATGCCAGTGCCCTGAGCAGCCTCAGAGGCTGCATCTGCGGAAAGCGCAGGCCAGGCTGCTCGCTGGCCAGGCCGCTCCCAGCCTCTCCTGAGTAGCCATCCTGCAGAAGCCAGGGTAGAAACTTGGTCTGCCCACAGTAGAGAAATCTCTCCACCTTCCCAGAGCCCACCTCCTGCTTCCCACTGATCCCTGCACTTCACGGGAGCATCCGGGGAGGGCGCTCTTCAGGATTCTTCTCCCAAGTGAGGCCTTTTCTGCCATCACTAGGTGACCGAGATGAAGAAGGGCAAGAGGAAGCTGTGCAAAAACGAGGCTGTGAGCCAGGCTGCGCGCTCCTCCCTCACCAGCCAATGGCCACGCGCCTGCCATCACCGCTCTCCTACTAGGGCAGAGAGGTGGCGTTAGAAACTCAGCCCCGGCGTCAGGAGACATCATGGTTGTGTCGAAGTGCACAGTACTGTGGTCCACCTCCTCCAGCCCCCTTGGCCTTGCCCTACCCACCAGGTCCTGACGCCTCCCCTTCCCCTGATGGGCCATGGGATGTCACAGAAGGGACATGTTTGCTCTAGGCTTCAGGATGATCACGGACACAGACTTCCAACTCAGGGTGTCTCTCTGAGCCCACTTTCTGTCAGGAGTCCACTTGGGAGCAGGGGCTGTGCAGGGGAGCCGCCGTCTGAGCTAAACCTGGGGTTCCCCTGCAGGGGTCTGGGCCCCAGCCCACCATGTTCCAGGACGTACACCTGACTCTGGGAAGCCCTCACAGTCCAAACTCTGGGCCTTAGGGTATACTGAGTGGGGCCCCTGTAAGCCTTGGGTCTGAGCACTGAGCATCCAGTATGAGGATGGGAGCATGTGTCTCCCACCTGGGGGCTGAGTGGAGGTGAGCTGCTGTCCCCTGAGCTCTGAGGAGACAGATGAGCTCCCAGAGACACTCTCCACCCTGAGCAACACACCTGGCAGGAACGAGACTTAGGCTACTCCACAAGGCCAGGCAGAAGGTCAGCTGCACACCAAATCACCCGGCTATTTAGTGAGGTAGATGGGACTCACAAAATGCCATGACACCAAGTCTTTCAGCACATTTTCTCCTTGGACCACACCTTGCACACACCAACACCGGCCAATCGCAGGACCCTCTCTGGGACCTCAGGGCCACCCCCTGTGGGTAGATGCTTGTCCATGCTGTACCTGGCTCTTTCTCTCCTTGAATGGCCTCAGTAACCTGCAAGATCCTCTCCTGCTTCCCTCCTAGTTACTTTTGTGTCCCTAGAGGCACTGATCACACTTCACGGCATGCAGTCCCCCTTAACAAATATTTGTTCAACTGAAAGCCAGCTGGGCTGCTTTGTTAGCACATGACAGAAATAAGGAAGAATGTTCTAAACAGCAACGGTTGCCAAGGGAAGCTGCAAAGTCCATATGATCTCCAGGCAACAACTCTTTATTGAGCAGGTACTATATGCTAGGCGCTGGATTCCCAGAGGGTCCTGGAGATATATGCTTGTGGATAAGACAGTCCAGAGCAAGAAAAAGCAAGGACTCTCCAAGAAGCCCTGGTTCTCAGAATTGCCCTTTTCCATCTCGAAGCCTTTGAAAAAAAATCTCCCATTTCCTACAAGATCACTGGATCAACGAAGAGGTTCAGGAAAGACCGAGATTCAAAGACTCTTTGCTACAGAGAAAGCTACTCACAGACCACCGACCCATTGAGGATGTGGAACCGGTAGCTGTTCAACAAAGGCTGGCAGCCAAACTCCTTCAGCTTCTTATAGCAGCAGTCGTGGGCCCGGCAGCATCTGGAGGCCAGAGGAGGGGGAGATGAGGGGCTGTGGCTGTGTGTGTGTGGGTCGGGGGTAATCACCGGAAGCACTTAGGTAGGAACCGGAAAGAACTCCCCTGCCCACCCCCAAGCCGAAGGCACCGGAGGAGGGGAGATGATGCTGATAGAGCCGTCCCTCTGCATCCAAGGGGGGCGAGTGCTAAGACCCCCGTGGATATCAACATCTTTGCTCAGGACCCTTGGTATTTGCATATTACCTGTATACATCAACCCAATATTTCAGAGCATCTCTAGATGTGTCATACTCGATACATTGTAAATACGTGTTATGATGTATTCTTTAGGGGATGGTGCCAAGAAAAAATAAAGCCTGTACACGATCAGTACCAATGCTACTTTTTAAAAATATATTTTTCATCTGAGGTTGGTGAGATCCAAGATGCAGAAACTGTAGGTATAGAGAGCTGGCTCTAATCGTTAAAATGATAAAAATAACCGATACTATTGACCGAGTCCTCTCTAGTACCTACTGCTTTCTGTACTATGCTGCCAACTTACAAAGTAAGCCATTGTCCCAATTTTATAAGAGAGGAAAGGAAATTCAAAGAGGGTAAGTTCCCAAAGTTATATAGCTGGAAAATGATAGACCCAGGTCTCAAGTCTAGGTCCCTGGGACTCATTCATCCATCGAACCACTTTTACTGAGCACCTTCTACATGCCAGGCACTGTGATGGTCTCTAAGGAGACAGCTGTCAGCAAAAACAGATGCAAACTTTGCTGTCACGGCTGGCTGGAGGCTGGGCAGCAGGGCCCCAAGGGGAGAAAATAACTGGAGAGTAGCCTCAGCCTTGTTGCCTCAAACAAGCAGGCATGAACAAACACCAGATTAGATTCAAAGATTCAAAAAATGGCTAGAAAAAGGCTTGCATCTCCCTTTCTTACCACTCCCACCTGCAATCCGGCTCTTGGCCCTTGACCAGCTTTAGCTAATAGTCTAAGATTTCAAACGCACCTTTGAAAGCAGACAGGAGAGGTACAGATCATCAAGGAAAAAGGGTTTGGACTTTGAGATTCTCATCAAATTCTGGCTTTGCCCTTAGGCGCCGTATGCACGGGCGCAGCTGGCTTAGTGACTCTTGGTCCGACATCCTCACTGTCCTCACATGTAAAATGGGTGGTGACACTGCCTCCCATGTTCACTGGAAGGAGGAAGCTAGCTAGGCCCCTGGGTAATCACCTGCCCCAGTGTTTGACACACGATGGGCATTTCACACGTGTGGGTGCCCTGTCAGGGCTCTGGAGTCCTCCCATCTGAAACATTGCATGGCTCCTCAAACAAGTGCAAGGAACTCAAACTCTAGTAGTGATATTTTAGGCCCCACGGGGACACTTATCCCTGCTAGGTCATGCAGAAAGAACATTTGACCTTCTTATTTCTTCAAATGAAATGACATGCAAAGTATCCCCAAATCCACTTTTTGTAGGCACGCACATTCCCCAACCTATCCTTAGGAATAGGCCTGGCAGCCGTTTGTGCCACATGCCCTCCCGCACGCAGATGGACAACTTTTCTAAACTGGGCCACGTGGATTCCCTCTCCTGGAATGTGGAACTGAGGCTGGGAGCCAGCTGGGCAGGCTTGCTACACCTGTAACACCAAAAACTGGGGTGCTAAACAAAGAGGTCATGGGCCAGGTAAGCATAAAACGGGTTCTAGAACTCTGGGCAGGACTGACTCCTTAATGTGCAGGTTCCAGAGCAAAAGAGAACAAAGGGCCCCTTATTAAGAATTCGGGAAGGCGACGCACGGCAGAGAACAAACCGCATGGAAGCCGTGAGGTGAGTGAGCCCTGTGCAGCTTCTAAGGTCTCACGTTCAAGAAGCTGGCAGGGGGTTAAGACACCCTGCGACTCTCTCATGGTGGCTGCACATGGTTTCTCCCAACCCCTAATACCCTCTCTCTAGCGTCAGGCATAGATTTCAGGGCAAAGCAAGCGGTGGTAGCTTCAGTGCCTCTGCACACACCTGTCAGTGTCGTCCACGGGGACCCCTTTGCCTCCGAGCCCACAGTAGCAGCCGTAGCCGTAGTAGGAGAGGAAGGCGCTCCGCCCTGTGATGTGCTTGACCATCCTCTGGAACTGCCAGAAGCTGCTGAGTGTGGGGGCCGTCACTGCCAATGGAAAACAAGGAACAAGAGAACTCGTGGTGAGCACGCTGTCGCCTCGCCAGGCCCTCACCAGGGTTCATCACCAGAGCCCTGAAACATGGGCCTGGGCAACCGGGTTATCAGCCTCTTCAGTGAGGAAGGAAAAAATGGGACTAGGTTTACTCCTAACACAGAGACTCTTGCACCCAGGATGAGCACCCAGTCTCCCCGACACTAAGGACAACGGTCTACTGCCCACCAGGGTCTTTCTCTTAAAGACAAGAAGCTACCAACCGAGGCAGGAAGTCCCTCGGGTCTCAGGCAACATGGACAGGAAAAGTTCACAGCCAGAAATACCGGCTCCTGCGGGTCTCACAGGAATTTGTGTCTCACGGGAGAAGCGACATACACGAGAGGTAAGAAAACTGCCATCGATCTAGTTTTTACAATGGCACATCCATGTGAACCCAGCAATTTTTACTTTTACAAAAGCGTGGGCACAAGGATATGTAAAAAGGATGTTTGTTGCGGCATTATTTGTGATAACAGAACATTGGAAACCACCCACACATCCACCAACTGAGGATAAGAACAAGACACTACCTTTAATAGCAATATTGCTGGGAGCTGATGGTGACTGTACATTAATGATGAGTGTACACTAACTTCTCTATCACAGTAGCACAGTGGTGTGTGTGTGTGTGTGTGTGTGTGTGTAAAGGCCTAGGGGAATGTATACCGAACTCTTAAGAGTGGTCCTATTCGGGTGTAGGAAAGGCTTGGGCTCTGGGAAGGATGAGGAAGGACTCTACCATGTTACCACACACTATTTGAATTTCTAATCACAGAGAGATACTAGTTCTGCAATGTCGATACAGTAAATAAATGAACAAGAAAAACAACAACAACAAGAGAGTTCGAGGGAATCTTCTCAGACACTTTGTTGTCTCACTGCTATGGTAGGTGCCTTGTTGTCAGGAAGCGTTTCTGGGGGGAACAAGGTCATGAAGAGAAAGCAGGGCCACACTGTGGAGCTACGGAAGTGACCCTCGCTGCGTCCTAATCTTGAAGACTATAAATCCCACCACTGACTGAGGGGACGATGGAAAGTTGGTTTTGACATTTCTTGTTTAGGGAGCCAAAAGTTACTGCTGCACAGCTGCAACAGACAGGAAATAAAAAATGAATTTAAAGAAAAAAGAAGAAGAAAGAAAAAACAGACTGGGACAAATACCTATTCAGCTTTTCCAGCAAAAATCTATACGTTTTCCAACAAAACCAAAATGGCTTTCCCATAAGCCCTTGCTCACTTTGCGGAGGCCTGCGGTCTGATCTCTGGGAAGGATGACTGAGAATGACCAGGCATCCCCTAAGTCTCTGCAACAATGTCTATCTTAAAAGAATTAATTATTCTGCTAACAGTTAATCATTGCAGATCCATGTCTGTAGTTTTGTGCTAGAATCCACGTGAATTTAGATAAAGACACCCAGCACCCAAAGGAAAAATCCTCCTGGGGCTGGGAGCGGTAAACTGTACCTAAAGTCTCCTTCTTAGTACTCGGTCGGCAACCTTCTATGTCCAAGACATTCCTAGACTCTAACAGCAGAGACAGATGCAGGAGAATTTAGGCAGGAGCCTGTTCCACTCTTGCTCTCTTTCTGAGAGACTTGTGGGCTTCCCTCACTTGATGCCACCTCAGGAGGGGCCACCCCGATGATGCAGACAGGAAGACAGCACCCTGGCACCTTCCCAGCTGGCTCACTACTTACAGCAGGAGACGAAGACAATGAAAATGGCAATGACCTTCATTTCAGAGGAGACTGGGGAGTCCTGGGCACCAGAGTCCTGCCTTTGTCTACAGCTGAACTTCTGTTTGAAGAGGAAATGACCGAAATAGGACAAGGCCATTTGGGCACAAAACCCCATCTGCTGTGCACGTCTTTGAAAGCCTTCAGTGGAGGGCTCAGAGAGATCTTCCAAGCTAATTATCTCTGAACATGATACCCTTCCTGCTATTTAGACCTAAACAGAAAAAAATAAGAAGGGCTCAATTGTTTGAAAAGTGCAAGTGTAGTGGTGTTTTTTCTTTCTTCCTTTGGCAACACTATCCCTTTGACTATATTTTTTCCTTGGGAGCAGTGAGTAGTCCCTTTGTTCTCAAAGCGCACACACACACACACACACACACACACACACACACACACACACACACACACACACTGTTCATAATGGAGCTCCAGCTCCGGAAAGAACTGTTCATAATGGAGCTCCAGCTCCGGAAAGCATGGTTCTTTTTGTTTCACCACTTGGTGTTTTCTTTCTTCAATACCCTGATATTTTAGTATAAAAAAAAAAAATCGTCCTCTCTGAAGTTCAGCTTCCTGTCCTGTAAAGTGAGACTGAAAATGCCTATCGGTAATGTCAAACCTTTATTAAGAAACTTTGAGTTGCTTCACGGGTATTACGTCACATGATTCTCACAAACAACTTCAGAGTTTCTAGTATCACTTTACAGAGGGGTAATGGAGGCCCGGAGAGGTTGAACAAATTCCTCACAGTCAGGAAGCCGTCTGCTCCACAGACTTGTTGTGGGGACCAGATGGAATCATGAAAACAAAACTGTTTTGCCCGTTAAATTACAGTAACAGGTAAACACAGCATTCTCATTAGTATTAGCAGTGGTGATGACACTCATACTGGGCACATTTCCCAAGGAACAGTGGAGGAGAACTCGGGCTTCTGCCCTGAGCGTGGAGCTGCCAGGTGATCAGGCCACAGCTTTCTCTCACTCCAAGGGGTCTGTTGGCCCCATCATAAAGTCAGGCTCCATCTGACACCATCGGAACTTGGAGCTTGAACAATAGCTCAGTTGAGCCCAGAGAATTTGGCAGGTACAGAGCTGCAGCTAGATTTTCACCCAGTGGCAACAACTCCCAGAAAAACTTCAAAGTGACTGTCCAGCTGCAGAGAGGGAGAGTTCACAGGGTGCCTTTGGTATTTTTGCCCTCTTTGGCAAAATTATGGTGGATGCTGTAAGGCTGAGCCCTTGACCAGGCCAAGTCCCGGGCAACCTTCATTTCAACTGCTGGGCAGGATTGTTTTTTAATTAGGTTCTTTCTCCACGGGCTTGCTTCCGTTTCTCTTCTGAGTCTGAAAAAATAAGCATATGCAGGTTTGGTCCACAAAGAAGGAGCTTACACCTTTCAAACAAGCAGGTGATGACACTTTAAAGAGACAAGAGAAGGGCCTGGGTGCGGGGCTGGTAATGAAATCTGACAGAGTCTCATTAAGCACCAGCTCTGTGCTCTGCCCATGAGAAGATTCTGGCCCAAGCAAGGCTGCCAAGCTGGCTTCTGATACCAAATAGGCAAATGTAGACCAAAAGCCCTGTGTGCGCAGAATTTCTAGGTTTGCTTCTCCATTGCTTCTGGAACGCTCCATGGTCTCTCGGAGGAGGTCACATTGTCTTCGCCCAACGTCTCACCCACTGGGAACTGTTTGCCACTGCAGGGAACCATGCGGCCCAGGGTGATGACCCTTCCTGGGGAGGAGGAGAGGTGCAGACCCTAGTCCGTGCCTGGATAGGTAATTCTTTAAACTGGGTTGTCCCTTGCCTCTTTCAGAACAGCTTTGCAAGGCCATGAGACCCCAGAACTCCCTGGAGCATTGGCCAAGACCTCAGCTACTGCTTCCGTCGTCACCTTCTTCCTCTGTCAGCTCCTCCCTCTGTGTGCCAGCTCCTCCCACTGCGTGCCAGCTCCTCCCACTGCGTGCCAGCTCCTCCCTCTGCGTGCCAGCTCCTCCCACTGCGTGCCAGCTCCTCCCTCTGCGTGCCAGCTCCTCCCACTGTGTGCCAGCTCCTCCCTCTGCGTGCCAGCTCCTCCCTCTGCGTGCCAGCTCCTCCCACTGTGTGCCCACTTCCCCTGCCACATCAGGGTGCTTCTTCTCCCCAGCCTTGCCCTGTTCAGTTCCCAGTAACCGCATCTCTTGGGAGTCTCCCAAGCAATGCACTTCTGTCTCCAAACTTGTTTCCAGGGAGCCCAGTCTTAGCCCATGTGGAGCGATGAGTACTGTCTGGCAACTGGATAAATAAATGCCTCAGCACTCAGAGCCGGGAGCCGTGCACCGTCCTGGGTGGGTCACAGAAAGCATCTCTAGAAGAGATGATTTTTGAAGAGGCCTGAGTTCCCTTAAATGTACCACCTGCTCCCATTTCTTCCTCACTGCAACCCTACCAGGTAGTTGCCATCACTACCCCCACTTGACAGACAAGGAAATCAAGGCTCAGAGAGGAAAAGTGACCTGAAGAAAAGCCACCCAGCTACTGAGTGGCAGCACCAGGACTTACCCTCTGGTCCCTCACTGCATATCCAGGGCTTCCGCCCCCTCACAGGGTCCCTGCCTGCCCTCTCATCCACATGGGCTTCTCACAGTCTCAGAGCATTTTTCACACACTGACCTTTGCGCTACCCTTCAGGTACAACTCATTGGGTTCTCTTCTTCTCTCTGTTTGCCTTGGGGCCCTCAGGATCACACCACAACAAGGCTAAGGGCACTGGGCCAGAAAGCCAGGGACTTGATGGGGGCAGGGGCTCTCCAGTCAAATCCTGGAGCAGCAGCCAGCGGGTGCGGGGAGGCTTGAGCTGCACACTGGGTTGTTTGCCAGACCTATCGATTCATCTTTTCTGGAATAGTGAAACAGGCAGGCCCTGGCTTTTCGCCCTGCGAAGAAAGTAAGGCAGACAGAACATGTAAACTCCATGGGGACACTGTGTCCACCTCTTTCTCCCCAGTGCACATCTGGCACTGTGCTTGGCACAAGTAAGCACTAGTGCTGGTGATGGACAACATGTGTATTGCACTTACTTACACTGTGCAGTCTCTGAACACTTCACATATACTGTACTTACTCACTAAACCCTCACACCCTCAGCTAGGCAAATACTATTATTATCCGCATTTTGCAGCTAAGGGAACTAGGCACGGAGAGATAGGCAGTACATGAACACTCGGGGAATGAATA